TATATTTTTTATTTTATACAAATTAGAATTACGTCTTTTTTCGGCAATTTATTGAACTTTAACAATCTTATAGATGCATATATAGTGTGGCTGAGGGAAGACTCCTTTTATTTATTTAAACTCTTCCAGAAAAGTTTGTATCATATATTTGTATTTATTAAATATAATATAATATACCTTATATCTAACCTTAACCTTTTTAAATAAATTTAAAAAGATCAAAAAACAAGTTTTACTATTTATACCCTGTTTTTTAGTTGCTATTTGAACAAAATTTAATCCAACTCTTCTTCTACCAGTTTTTCCATTAAACCTAATTTTCACCACATTTAAATCTAAAATATATCATGATCATTCATTTTTTATTTTAACAATCTACGAAAAATAATATTTCAACTTAAAGGTTTTAATAAAATAATTAATTCAGACATAAAATTTTCAAAATATCGAATGTTAAATTCGCATTTATGATTTTTTTTTTTTTTTTAACTTATATAAATAATTAATTAATATAGTATATTGATTGAATCCAAAGTGCATGCCAAAAAAAAAAAAATATATACAAATTGTATGCTGTGTACCCACAAGTTTATCTTAATTTATCATGCACTTTGTGCACTACTTAAACTTTATTTTTTACTTTAAATTTTTTTTTTTTTAATTACACTATATTGTTTATTATCAAAAACTCCACCAAATTTTATAATATTATTATTTATTTTAAATGCCACGTAAAAATGTAAAATAAATTCTATTAACTTCAATCGTTTTATTTAATATTCTTAGTATCATATTTTATAATTTGGTAAAATGTTTAATTGCATATAAAAATATTCCAATCTTGAAACTAATAAGTTTCTATTCATGCGTTAAAAAAAAAAAAAAAATATATTGAAAAATTAAAAATAAATTTTAAGTTGTGCACATAAGTACATGATAAATAAAGATACATTTGTGGTTACATTGCATGCGATTTGGACAATCCCTTCTAAAAGGAGGCATTTAATTAGGGCATTATAATTAATGTATTTTTTTTTTTTGCATGCAATTCGGATGTACTGAGTATATCATTTTTAAATTAACTCAAATTATTTTTATAAGAATATGTTTTTTATTAACATAATAAACAGTACCTTAAAATAGACTTTGTATACGGTGATATGTGGCGTGTGGAACTCCCTGTTGGTCAATTAATTTATGCAAATATTTTTTTTTTTTTTTTAACTAGTGGTCAATAAAATTGTATAACATCTATTACATGTTAAAATATTTCTTGATTTCGGAATCATTATTTTTATTAGTATCCGAGTAAATTTTGAAACAGATATTACACAAAATACCATTTACTCCAGACGTATTATGACGCATTTATTATTATTAATTGTATCTCAATGTTTATATTAGTACTACTAACAGGATAATACAATAAATCCATTATTCTAGAGTATAATATCAGTTGCTTATTACTCTTAGTCTAAGCACGTGACGAGACATTTATGGTCTGCATCAAAATTGAATTACTAAAAAAACATCAGAACTCTCCCTTCAATCATCGTTATAAGTTCCGATGCCCAAAGGGCCACGTCGTGTTCATATTAAAAAAATCTGGTCTGGCAAAAGGTGGAATAAACTTTTCAAATATAATTCAGATTTTCCGGGACTTAAATGTAAACTTTTGTGCTCCTTCGTCCCGTTTTACTCTTTTTGTCTCTTCTACCCTTTAAGTTTTATTTGGCGTTAAAGTTTTGCGTAACAGAGAAAGGAAAAAAGAAATTTTAGCGTCAAATAAAAACAAATTATCAGTCCCTTCTTACATTGGCAAAAAGTTTCACTCGTCAAAATGCGCAGAGTGAACACGGCCGTGACAAATACTACCCTGTATATATATATATATATAGTTTTATTTTCATTTTTTTTTTTACTTTTTTACCGAAAGGTGGACAGTGAAAACAAACTTTGATAACACAATTAAGCTATTTATTTTAACAGTTCTATCGTACCATCAAGTACCATCTGCTAGTCTAAGATCCACTATGTATGTTTTAATGAATTTCTGTTTGTCTTAGCATATTTTCATTCTTTTATTGGGACTGACACATAAATTCTCAGTGAATTTGGTAAAAAATTTAAAACGAAATACAAACATGTGTATCTAAATCTTTATCAGTTTCGTGTCTTTTTTTTAGGATTTAAATTATGATATGTGGTATTTATAGTTTGAGATTTATGTAATAATTATAAAGCAAAAATAAAAAAAAATAATCGATGTAAATAGTAAATACACATGTATAACTTACACATATTATATTCACGAATGCTTTAATAATTACACATTATAACTTATAATCTCTATGATATACACTATTATACAACTAATAAATGCACGTTTTTTTAAATAAAATAACTTTACAGTTATAAAACATTTTCGAATACTACAAATAATAGTATATTACTATAGGCTACAAATGCTTACGTTCTTAAATAACATCAACAAATTAAAAAAATAGCAGAGTATATTAGAATGTACTTTTAGTTTACATAATAATATATATTTTGATGGCTTTCAGTGATACTTGTTGTCATCTTAGTACACATATACTAAAGAAAAACATAGATGGGCAATTATCATACTTTGGATGATCGTATAATCACATTTAATATTGAATAACGTACTATAATCGAATATAATGTTGATTTTAAACAGGTATTTTAAATTGAATAAAACGAATGGTACTCTTTTATTTTTTATCGTGTAGTTATTCGTTATAGTATATAATACATAATAGCACATTATAATATACTATATTGCTTTTGTTAAAACTTCTTAATCTAGTTCATGCATTTTTTTTCTTTCATATAAATTAAAAACTTTATAAAATTAGCATTCCGATGTGACTCCTTTTATACAATGTGTTGTGTATTTTTGTGCACTCATACTATAATACTCTGATCTTTTCATATATGAATATCGTGTATACTCCGTTATAATTTATAACTTATATTCTATTTTTGTGTATTGACGACGATACGTATTTATGTGTATACTCGTATATATATATATATTTATTTTAGATTAATCTTATCATTAAATGTTTTCATGTATAATTCTTATATTGCATTTACGTTTTGTCTGATCTGATGAATGGATCTGAAATAATGAATATAATATTAATATTATTTAATACGTTGAATAAAAAACAATGAAATTGGATTTTAATCATTACTACCTATTAGGTACTCATTTAGTTTAAAAATATTCTCAATTGCTTTGATTTCTTTAATATACAATACCATAATTTTACATTAATAATAAAATTAGCCTATAGAGTTGCTCATGAAGATTTATTCATTTACTAGTTTAATACTAAGGTGAGCGTAATTTAAGTACAAATATCTTGCTACATTAAATTAATTAACATCGATAAGATACCATGTTCATATACATTTGTATAATCTATAATAAATCAAGTATTCGAATAAAAATAATTGATTGTCATGTAAAACATTTCATAACATGAATTATATTATTTTAATTTACATATCAATAATCACCTGTATTACCATATCATAATAAATAAATGCTGACTAAATACTTATTAACCACAATATTAAAACAGTTTAACACGTTATTATCATTCATTTTAAATACATTATTTAGATATTAGGTATATTAAAATAGTAACACCATTTAATCATTTATTAAAAAATAATAACAAAAATAAATGTATTAGATATGATAGATTATAAATAAAACAAATATTTTTCATTAAACACACCGATCTAATTGTTATATTATAATTTTAATAGTTCTACTGCTAAAGAACTTGTGACTTTAATTGTTTTATTTTAAATCTATACAAATAATTTATATGTATATCAAATAAAAATAGTTTCAGGTATATTATAATAATACATTAATTTATGTGAAAAATTCATGTGTAGGTTATTGGTGTGCTTTTATACAACACAGAAAACGTTAATTTTTTTCCTTATTTTACCATTTAGTAATACAAAAACTCGTTTCATTCTTATGCTATATATTATTTATAATTATTAAATGTTTCTCAATTTCAATTTAATTATTTTACGTCAAAATATTTTAATATGATAATATAATATCATAATATAAACATGGTTTGGAAATTCAACAAACTTAATTTAAAAACAGAATATTGTTCATACCAATTTCTTAGTATTCAGTAAAAATATCAAACTATAGCTTAGAAGGTGAACTATTAAAATAAAGTCTCTAATGAAATTATGAATGATAGCTTGGTAGAGATAAACTGTCTTGTTTTAATCAACCAAAATTATAGGAGCAGTCAAATGATTTTTGACGAATTAAATAATAACTACGTTTTTACATGCAACTTTAGCTTACTTTTGCGGTTAATTATTTTAAAATAACTTTTTTTTTTAATTCTTCCATAGATAATATGGTAGATTGAAGATGGTCATAAGGAGATAGTAGTATATTATAAGTTATAATACAAATAAAACGATGAAATGTCATGAAAATAAGGTTTTGATAACGGTCCGTTTTTAACCAATTTTTTTTTATGAATAACGGGTTAATATCATATAGTCATAATATACTGTTGATAATGTAGACAAAATGTAACTATAAAATGTTGTTAATCGATACAATTTTTCTTACAAAAAAATCAAAATTATTATTACAAGATGATGTAATAAATATGATACTTTCTGTCTACCAAATTTCTTAATAACAAAACTTTAATAATAGATAGTATTTTATTATATTTTTTGGTTTTCGCATATTTTATTTTTATTAATTATTGTATGTTATTGTCAAACTTTCTATGTGAATTTAAATGTTTAGACTAAAATATATCCCGGTACAATAAAAACCATTTTTGTATTTTAATATTTATTATGTATTTCACGAACTCACATTTCTTTGCACTGTACAGACATTTTCATTAAAATCATTGCATATATTTATGATTATTTTGTTGATTTTTATATTTTTTTTGCAGCCTACGGAAATTTGGGTTCTATACTCAGTAGTCAAGGTCGATTGGACGAAGCGGAAACGGCGCTGAGAACTGCATTACAATATCGACCGAATATGGCGGACGTGCATTACAATTTGTAAGTTCAAAAATAATAATAAATATTATTTTGTAGTATATTATGTCGTTAGTCGCCCTAAAATATAACGACTTGGACATTATCCAAATGCTGCAATATTTACGAGCGTACCTGTATATATGTATGTATTTATATTGCATGCATAAAAAAGATGATAATTGGCTTATTGAAAAAATATTATAGTATGATATAAATACATAGCTATAACTATGTATTGTGTCTATGTAAGTAATTAGATTTTTTAGATAAACATATTATTTCTTAAAGTCGTATTCTTCAATTTTTTTTTTTTTTATTCCATTTATGCAGTAAATGTATCATTCCAAAACTTAAAAAACAATAACTGATATTATCTCTCTCAATTACATCCATAGATTTTTATTATTTACATCTATAATATAAAGTATCAAATGATAAAATATCGTTAGAAATATATGTTGTATTTAAAATACAACATTTAATATGGAATAAAATAAATCTTCGATGGGCGGATGGACGCACTCATTCCCTTTTATAATACAAATAATGTTCCTCTATTAAAATTTTATTAAAGGCTTACCTCAATCCACATACACCAAATCATAAAAATTCCAGTCAGATCGTAAAAATATAACAAAAACAAATCTTGAATTTATTTCATCATAGATGGTAAATATTTAATAATGTGTAGTAATATGGTCATCTATTCTTGTCGCATACAATGCAGATTTCTAGAATAACTAAAATTGTATTGTAACACTTGCGGTCTATTTGCACATTAACAAAACTAGAGTTAGATTTAAAATTGGGTATAGCTAACATTTAAATCGATTATTTCAGTATAATTATTGTTATATATATATATTTATTTTGATTCACGTAATCCGTTTATGATGGATTAAATAATAATAATGATATTCCAATGATTTGTATGGGTAAGTTGAAGAAACATTTCTTTTGTTCGACCATAGATACAATGATTATATTCTATACAGATATTGTAGCTCGGTATGCATTATCATTATTATTTAGACAAAATGTAAATGTTCAGCTATATATTAATATTAAATAGTAATTGTTTTGTTTTACACAGAACTCTGTAATATCGACGTATGTTTTTTTTTTTTTTATATATATATTTAAAAGTATGTAAAGTAAAACATTCAAGACTATATCAGTTGATCTATTGTGCATTATGTGTTATTATTATTTATATATAATATATATATTTTAAATAGACACAAACTTATTCAATGTATAATAATTGTTTTTGACTTTGACTTTAGGTACACGTCTTATAATATAATATATATCTCGTAAATAAACCGATAGACAGACAGTTGTAGAACATATAATGATATGCACATAAATATATATATATACATTCATGTGACTAGGAAACACGTTTAATAATGTATATGTATATAATAATATGATTTCATGGTCCAAATCGTCTTCTGGGACTGTTATGATTATGGAAATGTCAAAACGAACAGGACTAAAACGTCCAGGTATGTGCGAATAACGTTTTTGGCATTTTATCTTTATTAAAACATATCTGTGACTGCACACCCTTTTAGGACATTCTAAAACTACCCTATTCTTACAAATTCTTCCATCTTCCTCTACTATATCGGTTTTGGTCCATTTCATTGTCGTAGATCATTAAATAATCTGTGTGTTCTGTATTTTTATACATATACAACCCATTAGCAAATATTTATACGTATTATTATGTGTACAACTGTAAGTACATTGGCGCTATCAAATAAGATGAACCATCTCTGCAGAGATTTCCATTTCAGCCTGATAATTTTCATTACTATAACGTTATACCACTCTTACGTTACATTTATAAAATTAACTATAGTGCAATATACATGCGGAATAATTATTTTTTCATGAGCCAGTTCAAAATTTAAATAAAACACAAAGCATTTTCAAATGTATTTACTTTTAAACCGTAATTCTAAATACTGATAATAATTATCAAAAAACTTTAAAACTTTAATTGTATAAGTCTCAGATAGATATAAACTCTTTTATATTTTCTTATAATTTTATATTGTTAGCTCAAAATAAACATATTAGTCCTCGGAATTGCTATTTTGACCACCGTATAAGATACTATTCGTTGTTCAGATAGTTGAACCCGAGCCAATATCATCTGAGCGTCGTCTAACTCACCAATTCTGCTTGATAAAATAAATTACAAATTTCTTCGATACCGGCTAAGAGTTATTTTTCTTCGCCAATTCGAAGAATTAAAATCGTTTTCGCCAAGTTTTTTGCTACAGATGTGTTCGAGAAACTATTTTATTCATCTTTCAAATAAAGACATTTAATGTCTTTCCACGGAAACAAACAGACGCAGCCGGAACAACATGTATTAAAATAACAGAATATTTCTGAGAAATTCTTTTTATAATATTTACACTTTTTAGTTATATTCATTATAACTGATTACTTAGTATATAATATGTATACAAAATTTGTATATTTAATATACGTATACATCCATTTGCAATGTTATTCGATTACATTTCAGATACAAAAAGTGTACGTACATGATTTGGTGATAACTGATAAGTAAAAATGACTGTGGTATAAAATTTAATGAATTGAATCGATATGCAGTATATTTTAGCCACCTACATTTTTATGTTTAATGGCTCTGCTTCTCGGCGGTGACGAATTTTCAAAAATTATGATTTACATAATTTTAGAGTAGAATTTTGCTACCAATAAATTGCTTGGTTTATAACATATAGTATGATTTGAAGTCGGACAAATGGATATTTTACTTTATTTTTTTTTTTGTATATTGAAGAATGCTCTTATCATAAAATAATTAAAAAAAAATAAAAACTTAAATGTTTATTTTAAGCTTTTTATGATATGAGTTTAATGTCATGATTTTATTTAAAACTGTATTTTATGCGAATTGGAAATTACAATGCCAGACTTCAGTGTATTATATGCGTATTTTGATAAGCTACGTTCAAAATCGTAAAACAAAAGATTGCATAATATCTCATTAAAATATATAATATCAAATATTTTTTAACCTTTAAACTATGTAGCATATATTTATTGATAAAATAACTTTTCGTTGGCAACAGAAATATGCTTTATAATATTAGCATGGAACCAAACTTTTTAAAATAACATTGTTGTAAATTTATAAGTTTCAATAATAGTCAATTCAAGTAAACAGATTTCATTATCATCAATATTTTATATCTCCAAAAACATTTAGAATAGTTATTTGAATAGGATTGTTCGGAAAAAAACACATTTATAAAAAAAGTCAAATTAAAATAACTCAAAAAACTTGATAATTAGAATTATTTTTATTCCCCTAAAAATTTTAATGACTTTAAATAAATTATAAGTCTTATTTACTTTAATATAACGTTGAGATAATTAGCTTAATTGAAACATATTATATCTTTTAAATATAGGTATTTTTTCAAACATATTATGATTTATCTATTTAATTGTATAATAAACATAATAAATGAATAGATATAAACTATGTCTAGTGCGTATTTTTGTTTGTTTTTTAATGCCTCAAAAAACAAAAAATGAATCATTTAACTACAGCAGATATAGTTTATGTGATACAATCGGTGGAGTAAAGTAACCGGAAAAATGAGATATCGTGAAAAAAAAAATATTCCACCAAAAATACTGTCAACATTCTTAAAAAATAAATCGGATATTAAAAAACAAAAAAGTGAAGACAATAAAACATCGAAGTCAGCAGAATATCTAAATGTAGATGTATGTTTATTCAAATATTTTACTTAATATATAGAGATAAAAATACATCTATAACTGGAGCAATAGGTACTGATAGAAAAAACAGAATATTTCGCAACTTAATTTGGTTATTTTAATTTTAAAGCAAATTAAGATTGGTTAAAATATTGGAAAAATCGAAATAACATATTTTTTTGTAAAATATGTCAAATCAATGTGACGAATATGCTTCTGTAAACGATTATTCTGTGTTCATGTAATGAATGCTTTGGAAAGTTATTAAATATCATAAAAGAAAATATTCTCTCAATGATTAATTTAATGTGGATGATATAACATTATTGTTTTATAAATTCCTACCCGAACACACTTTCAATTTAAAAGGGGATACAATTTCAGGCGCAAACAAGGCAAGGGGCAGATAACAATTATTTTACGAACAAATATGTCAGGTATTGAAAAAATTAAACTTTTTATAATCGGAAAATCAGTTAAACCACAATGTTTTAAATAAGTAAGGAATAACTATTAGAGTAAAACAAGCAAGGGGGCATAGAAGAATGGTTATTTTTTTTTAAATTAACCTATGTAATTTGATAAAGAAATGTTTTATTATTTATTGAATACACAAGAAATGTAAATACAAAAATGTAGAATATTAGATGTAATAAAAATCTATGAATACATTTAAAAAAGTTGGGTTCTATTTTAATAAAGAGCAGGGATATATGCTTAAAAAACAAGACAGTGATATACAGGCGTGAATCCTAAGTAATTATTAAATGGGACATTTTTATTGTTTAATAATTTTATAATATTATAAGTATTACCATAAATATTAATTTCTTTATACTATATAGGAATAAACTTTCAAGAAAATGTTTAAAAAAACTAGGCAGATATATTGAATAAAACATTCTTTGTTTAAGAACAATCAGTAATATATTATAGATACGCCCGGTATTCATCATATCGGTGCGATTAGTAATTACTGAAATATAAATAGAACTATACACAAAATAATATATTTATTATTATTTATTATAAAAATAACTAAAAATAACTAAAAATAACATCCTAAACTATTATATATTTATAATTTTTATCATCGCTTAACATATTAATATAATAATTAAATTTTTTGGTGATATTTGGCTTTCGTGCCTTTTTTATATCTGCGTCTGACCACTCACTGGTAAATAAAATTGTTTTGAAGTGACTAAACTCGCTTCATTGTGATTAATGAAAATTAAAAT